TCCGTAACCTTGTCGATGAGCGCCCATTTGTCATAATATCATAAAGTCTCAAGTTAATCTCAGGAAAGTCGAAATTGTAAGAAATATAACGACAAATCTAAGCACCTTTGGCAGCAATTATGTCGGCCTGCTGCCACAGATATAGGTTCTTGCTGCGGTCGATGCATAAAGCCTCAGTAATGGAACATTCAGTCACTTAGGTGACTTGAAAAGTCACTTGTTGGTTAGTTTTTGGATCCAAAACACATCTAACCTCATTTAGAAAAAACTCTGCTAGGCATGTTGACCCCCACGCGGAAGGAGTAAGCCAATCAGCGTAGATTTATTGTAAGTAAAGTTATGTCGAAGATTTGGAGGAAGGATATACGGATTTAAGCTCATCAGCATGAATAAAATACTGACAGTGTTTCACCGCTAACGAAATAGCATTTATGCAAAACAAAAGCAAGTGGATCTAAAATGGCGCCTTGGAGGAAACCGCTTACAAAAGGGCTCTCACTGGAAAATGAGGACTCCACTATAACCTTTTGTTTCTGATTGGATAGGTATTACTTAATAAAGTCAATAAGGGACCTGCGAAGTACTAGTTCTCAAGGTTAACTGGAAGTCGTCTAAGTGACAATCTATCAACGGTTATACCAAGACCAAAACGGATAAACACCACAGATGGATAATAATTACGAAAAGATGTAAGTAGATTAAGGAAGGACACCTAATATCAGGCAAAAAACCATGTTGGGAAGAGCGAGGCACTTGATTATATACGCAAAATTCAGTTGCTTTAGTGGCAAAGGTTTTTTCAAAGAATTAAGTGAGAAAGTGCGTTTTATGAGCACCACGACCACGGTAAACATCGGAACGAGAGTTAGATTTAGTTACCGGAATAATAATAGAAGTTCCCCGACAAACAGGATAGAAACCAAACCTTAAAAAGTTTGAAAACAATTTACTATACAGAAGATGAATTTCTCTTCGCTGTTTAGTAAGAGAGTTTGGAGACTTTTCAGTTCCAAATGAATGCGGATTTCTAAATACCCACAGGAGTAAAATTAATGGTGATAAGAAATACTTCTGCCGACGGAGGAAGTGAGGCGATTTTGTGAGTTTCAGAGGTAAATAGTTTGTCAAAGAACAATTTAAACGATTCTGCTTTCATCGGCTCTTATGTAATGAAATTAATGCAGAAACTGCCTAAAGGCTGAATGGTTATTTGGGACTTAGTGGGCAATCTCACACGAAAGACCTATGCAACAGATCTGGAAGTACCTCCAACATTAGCAGCTAAAGACTCCCTACGTCTGTCTAGAGCAAACCTCATTTTTTGTTATTAATTCGATATTTCAATGATTTTTAAGTGAACAGCTAATGAGCTTATGGATGGATCCTTATATGAGATTTGTCATTTTAAGGCTGTTTAAGGAACGTTCGAGACAGTGGAATAAGTCTCACGTAATTCAAAAGTCTTAAGTGGAAACCAATCGAGGTGATCTTCTGTAAGGCGCAGCAACAATTCATAAAATATTTGGATCATTATTTGAAAAGGTAATGAGCCAATGCAGAGTGCTTTTAGAATTATTCACTATGTCCTTGTCAGAAAAAGCAAAACGAAAGTACTTGCGTTTTTCGTTGGTTTGACAGAAAAGAAAACTGGAAAACAAAAAAAACACGCATTAACTTGATTTCTTGTACGAAGACCACAACGAAAATTTACAATTAAATGGGGCATGAAACTAGTAACAATTAAATCTGCTACACTATTGTTTCTAGCCGACGAGTGAAAGACGAATAGTCTCAACAAACGTCTGGGGTTTAGATGAGAAAAATATCTGTATGTCAGTCAAGTTCAGATATAAAAAATCGCCCACGACCACTTTAACGCCAAACGGAGTTTACAAAAGTGGCATTATTTCCGGGGTAACAAGGAGGATTATATGCACATCCACTTAAGAATTTCCAATTTTGCGGAGGAGGATGGAAACGAAACAGAGATTTCCAGAAAGGGGAGAAATGTTGAGGTTATTGGATGAATGCACACGAGAGGCTCTGCGTGGTCATTCAGTATAATTCAGTATATATGAGGGATAGAGGCAGAGCCTTGGAAAACCCTATTGACAGACAGACGTATGAAAAAAACATGCAGATATTTACATAGCAGTTATGCCAGTCATTGATATCATGTAAGTGTTTGACCATCAAGCATAAGTTTATCTAGTCTTCTTTTGAAAGTCTCGACGTTTTCCGCCGAGACAACGGAGTTCGGCAATTTGTTCCATCCCTCAACCAGCCTGTGAGAAAAGAATTTGGCCCGCAAATCGAGTCTGGCATGTTTCGTCTTCAATTTGTATGGGTGCCCTCGGAGATTTATCGTCCGCGCCAGTTCGAAGAAGTCGTCAAACTGAAGTGCACAGTCTAACGCTCGGACGATCCTTAAGGCCATGATCATGTTCCCCCTGTACTGTCTATAAGAGAGAGGAAATATTTTTAGCTTCTCTAGCCGTCTCTCATAAGGTAAGCCACATAATCCGCCGCTCTACGTTGTACGTTCTCCAGTAGGGTGTAATCTTTTTTCGTCCAGGGACACCATGCCTTTAAACTGCAGAGAAAGCTGGCCCATACAGACTTCCGATGGAACGCCTTCACGTAGGGGGTCATTGGAGCATGGAACGGAATCTCATCCAATGTTGCAACATCTGAAAGGCTCAACTCTGATGTAGTCAATGCCATCTCGTCTCGTATAAATATCGCAATTTTCCCATCCCTTCGTTTGTTTCGGTCCATACGGAGAAGCTGAAAGCATACAGCTCTCGCTATTTTCTATTATCTTGATTTTGTCAGTCTTAGAACTGTGAAAGTTTGTGAAAAAATAAGTTCCCATTTCGCTTCCGAGTGACATTTCCGAACGCAATTAAGTCCCCGTCGATTTCTTGGGGACATTTGAATCTTGAA